CGGAACAATTAGTTAATGTGTTCATGACATCAAGGCTAGATTATTGTAATGCTATACTGGGTAGTTGCCCTGCACGCTTAATAAACAAACTTCAGCTAGTTCAAAACGCAGGAGCTCGAGTTCTTACCAGAACCAGGAAGTACATTAGTCCGGTTCTGTCAACCGTACAGGTAATTGGCTGCCTATTAGGGTTGGGCGATGTCTACCAATTTGGCAGTGAAACATCGCGATGGACGATGACATCGGCGGGTATCATTCTCATATGCTCATTTGCAATAGATATTTTCCTCTATCTCATCTGCGATTTCGATTTCGGCACGCTCTGCAGCAGCTCAGCAAAGAGCGAATGTACAGTGACGTGATAGCTGCCAGATTCAAACTGCGTACTATCGCGCTATGGCTGGAACTGAGCCAAAGACGGACGCGCTCAGCGCTTGTTACAGCCTAGCCTATATCACAACTGTTCAGTGTTTTTAACCACATTGTTTTTTTTTTACGTTTCAGACATTTAAATACATATAATTTATAGTAAAACAATACATTTATGGTTTGTAAAATACACAATGGTGTCTATGGAAGCAGCAATAATAGCCCATTCAAATATATTTGACGACAGTTTTATTCATATCAGAATGACACAGTGTAAACTATAAGCACACGGACGTTTGTGTTGTGATAGTTTCGCCTGACAGAACAACCAGGTATTATGCAGTAGGCCTAATTCATCATACAAAAATAAATACAAACGAGGAGTAATTCACTAATGAGTTTGCCAATGTAACGTGAAAGGGGTTTGTTGTTGTGGGAAGAAGGAGGCATGAACCGGCTAACATTTAAACATTTTAGAAGTAAAATGAACAAATACAAAACAAAAGTATAAGCCAGCAGCCCCTCATTGACAACTGCTGTAACGTTACACACAACAGAAACAAAACATCATAAAATCAGCCTGTTTCTCTCTCGATCTGCCGTCTCATTATGCTTTCGCTCCTCGCGAGACCTGCGCGCGCCTCACAGGTGTCTTTCATTATCATCACTCACGCCACCGTCCTCTACATCCCTCATTCAAATATATTTGACGACAGTTTTTATTCATATCAGAGAGAAACGGTGTAAACTATAAAGTCAAATCTATTTTTGTATCCCAGTTCGGGAGAAACTAATGAATTCACGAGCTGTAATAAATCCAACAGACAGAAATCTCTGAACTGCGGCCCAAACACGGCACCCATCTCACTTTACAGATCAAGTTTTACATGACAAAAACTCACTTACACATATTTGAGAATCGGAATAGAAGATAGTTCATGACATGTTAAGCAAGTTTGTTTATATTTAGAAATAAAAGCGCTAAATTTGTCATGCAGTGCTATTTTGGCTGTGGTGAATCACGTGCCAAGCATGACGTGTCACCATGGAAACGGGGGGGGGGGGGACATCACGATGTTTAGCCGATATCGTCCATCGGCCCAATCGTACTGCCTATTTAACATCGTATAATTTTTTAAATATTGCTGATTACTTACACAGCAGAAAATGGTTTAGCTCCCCAGTACTTGAGCGAGCTCTTAACGCATTATAGTCCTTCACGTATATTGTGATCTCGAAATTCCCGCCAGTTGATAATACCTAGAATATCAAAATCGACTGCAGGCTGTAGATCCTTTTCCTTTTTAGCACCAAAACTCTGGAACAATCTTCCTAACATTGTCCGGTAAGCAGACACACTCTGTCAGTTCAAAACTAGACTAAAAACACATCACTTTGGCCTAGCATACACATAACACACTAAAGACTTACTTAATTCAAAGTTAGGCTGCATAGTTTAGATCAGCCGGGAACCGGCAACACATCCCGTAAATCCTGATGTGCTTGGTACATCATAAGAAGGATAGCGTCTACGCTAATATTAGTCTCTCTGTTTATCCCAAGGGACCCGCTATGGTGGACCTGCGCCTGGACTCATCCCAACCCATCCATTTTGTCACCTGATGGAGTTTTGGTTCCTTGCCACTGTTGCCTTGGCTTTTGGCTTGCTTAGTTGGGGACATTTCCAATATTCAATATTCAACAATATTATTGATCTGTGTTGTATTATTTTCATGTTATCACTGTGAAGCTGCTTTGATACAATCTGTATTGTAAAAAAGCGCTATATAAATAAAGGTGACTTGACACTCTCATTGGCATTGTCAACACTCACTCCCATTAGTATAGTATTTGTTTCTCGTCCAATGCTTGTAATTACTCAACTATACTCTCTAAACCATCCATGTGCTACACTGCCTTTGCAGTAGATGCATTTTTTTTAAATGACATTATTAAAGACATTTTTTATTATTACTATTACTATTTCATGAATAAATATAAGAAATAATGGTGTTTAATTATTGTTAAATTGAACAACAAGCAAATTAAAAAATTAAATAAATAACAACTGATTTGTTCAAAAACATTCAGAAAAAAAGCCCATGATTGCATTGCAGCGGTTCTGCTTTGGCTTTGTTCGGAAAAAAAAAAAAAGTAACTGTCTAAAAATGTGTCTATAACTTAATTGAATTGGTGCATCAAAAACAATATAAAAAGCTTTCTCAAGTAAAACAGTTCTCAAAGACTTTGTAGGTGGTTGCTTTGTCATCTTCTATAGGTGGTTGCTTTGTCATCTTCTCTAGTTTTCCCTGAGAGATAGACTGAAGCCCCTGGAGCCATTCAACATATTCATCAGATATAAACAGATCCGGTGAAGCAACAGACGGGGTCAATGCTGTTTGGAAAAGTATCTCTGTGGGACAGCAATCTGAGCCTCATCATCCCAGCTGTGGCTAGTAACCAGTGCGACCAGCTCAGCTTAAAGGCACTCTATGCAAGATCTGTACCTTAATATAACAGCTTCAAAGTCGTTTTGGTGGTTAACAAAGTCATAGTAGGGCGAATCATCCTGGTAGGAAAGCTTGGGGGGGACGCCGCCGGAAAAACCAGCCATGCAAGTTTGAGAGTGGCGCCCCTGACACAGCGCGTGAGAATCACGAAATGGTTTACGGCAACGACGTCACACGCATCAACAACATCATACTGTATGAAGCTACTTTCGAAAAAGGGAAAGAGAATCGGACCGTGCTAGAAACCGGACAAGAGTCCACTCGGTCGGGCTTTCACTCGTTGGCGCGAGCTTATAAGCTGCACTGGATTGTAACTGCGATGCTGACCTGGCGATCTTGTTGATGGACTTGTAAGTAAATCTCTTATTTATAAACTTGTTTGTATTTGTATACTTGTTTCTATATTGTATGTTGCTGCACTGGCTTGTAGTAGGCCTATGTCATTTTTTACGGTGCTGTTCATTCATCCGTTGTTGATAATAAGACCAGTTCAATAATTCTCACATATGTCTATAGCTTTCGATTACCAGAGCTTTAAGCAGACTTCCTAAAAACAGTCGTTTCTCTTAGTCTTGTTGTTTTTTTCGTTATGTTTTATTGCCGAGCTTGCCACAAGAGCTAGTTTGCCAGCTGAACTCAGGTGTTGTGATGTGTATTTATCACGTATCTTTAGTCCTGTGTCTGGTTCGGATTTCTTATGACGTGTGTAAGTTACTGTTATATCAAGTTTATCTGACTAACAGTACACTTCCCGACTGTAACTTCAAATTGTGTTGATTATGAATCAATCAAATCTTGACGCTGTTGATGTTGATTCTTGCGATTACTATGAGGACATAGTCAATATCTCACATAATTATTAGGACATATAAGCCTAGAGGTTGTAAATAATTGAACACAATTTGCTATTATGATAATTGTAATCATGTCTAAATCATAACGTCCAATGTTATGAAATAATGCGACGTACATTTAACTTGATTGATGTCATCTGACATTTTGTAATGTTTACATTACAATCAAAAAACATGAATGAAATTATACAGTAGCCTATACACTATAGGCTATTTACTTCTGATTTTGCAGAAATCATGTAAAAACGCTATAAGCCAGCAAACGCGATAGGCAACTTTATTATTAAAAAGCAGTCTAGCACTTGACAGTAGTTCAGTAGATATGCAGTAACAGGGGAATAACGGTTATTTACGACAGTGCAAGTACACCACAGCGGCTCTAGAGGTCACTGTTTTACCAAAAAACCAGAGAGTGCATAGTGTGCCTTTAACATATGAATTACAGAGAGCTCACGTTTAACAGCAGAGGAGAGTGGCAGCAGACCGAAAGCTCATCGTCCGCCGACTGCTGCACAGGTCAATAAATCTCTCATCAGGACGAAAAGCATCTCACCAGACTTTCGCACATTTTAAATCCAGTTTCTCAACTCTGTCTTTAAACCATAAAATAAATAAATACATAAATAAATAAAGGTTTGTTTATTTGCATATCCATGTTTTATTAAAATATGACCAGTTAAGCTCAGGCCATTTATTATGAATCGTCTCCTTCATAAACATGAATCTAGTGGTAATCCCACATGCTATGTCAAACAACACACCATAAATAATAAATTTAATTTAATAAACACACCTGCTTCAATAAACACACTGGTAAGCCAGTGGCTTAGCTCTAACAGCTGGTGAGTTAACGGCCAAAAGCTTGAGAGCTCTATTCTCTAGAAAATAACGCATTGATTAGTTCTCCACACATACATCCTGCTCACATCCTGAGACACTAAACGGCCCAGGCATAACATGCAAAACGGCTGTTCATTTGCATAAGGTGATTTTTCCACCGGTAAGAAGGGTGCAGTCAAGTGCAAACAATCATCGCCCACACGTGTTGACTGATTCCAGCTTTAACTAATGCAAATATGGGCTGAAAACTTGAGCAAAAAACACGGTCAATTCCTGAATATCACACCATTGCACCATTCATTCACCACTTCAACACACAGAATAGGAGGACAGAAAGAAATGACCATTGGAATAATGAATTGAGCTTCAACACTAATGCATCATATATAAGGGAAGAATGATCTCCAGCATGAGCTTGCGCATTTACCCCGATGATGCTCAGGTCTTTCAGGTAGTCCATCCTGGGCTGGGCCTGTGGCACACATCCCGCTAAAACCACCTTCTTATTCTGCTCCTGAGCTTTCCTGGAAAAAAAACAACAACAAAAAAAAAAAAAACACAAACATCACAATCAACATAAGTTTGACAGTGGCAAAAATGACTTGTTCAAACATATTCTGAAATTAAAGCGACATGATGTGAAGGCAAGTATGGTAACCCATACTCAAAATTTGTTCTCTAGATTTTAACCCATCCAAGTTAGTGCATACACATTAGGAGCAGTAACACAGCACAAACCATGGACTCACACACACACACACACACACCCGGAACAGTGGGCAGCCATTTTTGCTGCTGCACCCTGATTGTGGGTTAGGTGCCTTTGCTCAAGGGTACCATCATTTCCTGCCGGTATTGAGAATTGAACATTCAAGTTATAATTCAGAATAACCATTAGGCCATGACTGCCCCAGTCGATCAATCAGTCATTGATATACTGTATATCTGAACAAATTTCACAGGCATTTGATGGAAACAAACAAAGATGGAATGTTTCAGCAGAGGTCAATATCAAAAGAAGATGCAAGTTACAGTAGTAGCAGTCAGTAACCCTTAAAGCCCTGAAGGCATTTTTAGAGCCATAGACAAAAATAAAGACTCATAATAACTCTAGAACTAGCCTATAGCAAGGAGAATCAAAAGGTAGGTATAGTTTGATAGAAAACTTTTTAATTTGTTTGGAGAGAAAAAAATAATCTATTTGGACATTCTCATCCTGAAAGACTGCTGATAATTTATTTACTTATTTTTAAGTGTGCTCAAGGGAAATTTGACATATCTTCCTTAGTTGACATGCAATAAGGTAGGAGGACAAATCTTTTTTGGTCAAATTCCCCTATTTATAAGCTGCATCTGGATCAAATATTGTGGTAATAGCATGAAAATCAAAAGTTATAGCCTTTTTGTTCAACCCTTGACACCCAGAAGATATTTTTAAAATTGTTGCTCTTCCGTGAAGAATATCCTGTGATCAACGCAAATGATTTTGTTGATTTTGGACTCATTTGAATCGGGAGCATCCACTGTAAGTAATGATGTCATGATGTCATTATCTACGATTTGTGTGTGTTTCCTTAAGTTTTTTTTTTTATTTTTTATTTTTTTAATTGGCAACAAGTGTGGTTATGTGTTATAACTACATTAAGGGAATATCTTTAGATATTAAGTGATGGATTATGGAGCTTTATGTTTGATTATGGCTTTTTTTTTTTTTAATCATGAGAATCTTCTGTAAATAATAATGTGCCATTTTCCACGATCGAAACAATTATACTTTATGGTTGTATTAAGTGCACTCCTTCAATCACACATTACACTAGCCATTGCATGTACATCAGTTGTACACTCGTTATTGCAGAGCAATTGTCACCAACCTTTTCAACCCCAAGATCCCTGACCTCGGCCTTAATGAAAGGCAAAATCTACTCTAATTTTTCATGGATGATTCAGATTTTTTTTTACATGCAAATTGCCCAATTCCGATAGCAGCTGCCATTTTTTCTTCTTCTTCAAGCAAATTTATTTGTTGTCAATTTGCTCTATAACAGTCCAAACTTGCCTTGAAAAAAACTGTAGCCATTTGAAATTAGAGACAACCACTGCATTTTAATCACAATCCAAATAAAGATGCTACACACCTTGTCTTTGATTTAAAGGGGTGGTTGATTGCGATTTCACTTTTTTCATCTTAAACAGTGTGTAATGTTGCTGTTGGTGCCTGATCAGTATGAAAGTTCAATGTAAGCAGAGGTATCGTCTTTTAAAAATCAGAAAGTTTAATACCTACAAAAATTACTCGATTGGGACTACAGCTGGGTTTTAGACGTCACTAACCCATACATTTACAGTACATCAACCCTCCCTCCGGAATATGCAAAAAAGGGCATGGCCATATTTCTGCGGCTCGTCGTGTGTGTTATGTTTACCCAGCTGTCAGGTCTTCTGTGTTTGGGGCTTCACACGGACGTTCCTTTGTCAACAATGTAAAGAATTTATGTTTGATTAAGTTCCTGAAAATGACGACAATCATACTTTTATTAGCTCTCTGTGCTGCGCATTTTACGAAAGACAGCTTCCAGAATCTCCACGAATTCAATGCCGGATTCAACAAGAAACTGTTACTAAAACATGAAGCAGTTCCAACTTTAAAACCAGAGGTAGCAGTTGATGGGACACAACCTGTAAGTAGGCTAAAGGCCATTGCACACTGAGCACGAAATATTCGTATGCGTATTTTCGTGTTCGTCAGCTTAAAAATTCGTCACGCATAGAAACCTTGCACACCGAGTCCGTTGCGTATTTCTTAAACCTTTGCGGGAAAAAACGCAAAAATACCAAATGGATTCGTCAAGCAGTGAGGATGATTTTTGCCCTCTCTCTTATTGAAAAGGGAAGAAAGAGAAAATATTACGTCCATCCAATCCTGAAATTGCGCCGAGAGGAAGGAGAGTTATCAAAGAGTTGCGAATTTATCCTGAGCGATTCAAAATTTACCTCAGAATGTCAGTGGGACAGTTTGATGCTTTGCTAGCGATTCTGGAGCCACATATTAAAAACAAGACCACCAATTTCCGTGAACCAATCGATTCTGAACGGAGACTGGCAGTGTGTCTGAAATGGACCAGGTATGGACACACACACACGGACAAACACACACCCGCGCGCGGCCCGTTGGAAGCACTGGGCAGACAGAACAGCTAGGCTATATTGTGTATATTGTGCCCAAATAATACATTAGTTATCGAATATGCTGCTCAATCACACCTTATTCGATCCTAAATTTCAATCTGATTGAAAGGGGAGGTTTATTAATTTCATAATCCAATATAGAGAAGAGAACATAAACACTTGATCGAATTGAAAACCGAAACTGAAAGCACGGCGCATATGTGCAATGATTTGAGGACGAGCTCCCCCCGGCCCTGAATTGTCAAAAGACCTCTCAAAATGCTGGCTCTGGATGCGAAAAACGCAGAAAATCGAACCCGATCCGATTCATTTTATGACGGACGAAAGTTTCGGAGGCGGTGTGCAAGCGTGACTGACATAACGTGAGGTCGAATTTTTTTTTTTAACATGCGAAAATTTCGGATGCGAATTTCGGACTCGGTGTGCAATGGCCTTAAGACTTAAAGGGCACATATTATGCACCTTTTTACAAGATGAAATATTGGTCTCGGGTGTCCCCAGAATGTATTTGTGAAGTTTCAGCTCAAAATACCCCACAGTTAATTAGGGTTGGGTATCGTTTGAATTTGAACGATTCTGATTCCGATTCCTTGTGCTGATTCCGGTTCCAAACGATTCTTGATTCTGATTCTTTTAAGAGGTAGGGTCAAAAAAGTTTAGCTAACCTTGCTAACCAACGGCCTTTCTGAAGGAAATACTCATTACTCATACTCAATCGTCTTTTTATCACTTAAAAAATATTGCAAAGGTTAAAAACTTCATATTACCGGCAGACTTAGAAAAGCTTATTCATGCTTTCATTTCCAGTAGGGTGGACTATTGTAATGGTCTTTTCACTGGTCTCCCTAAAAAAACAATAAAATCTCTTCAAATTATCCAAAATGCAGCAGCAAGGCTACTGACCAGAACCAAAAGAAAGAATCATATCACACCAATTTTAAAATCTCTACACTGGTTACCAGTGACTTATAGAATTGATTTTAAAGTTTTTTTTCTTGTTTTTAAAACACTAAATGGTCAAGGACCTCTATATATGGCAGATATGCTTAAAAAATATACCCCCTCAAGATCACTTAGATCTGCTGGTAAACTCGAGCTAGTACAATGCAGCGCTCGTACTAAGCAGGGAGAGGCAGCCTTCAGCTGCTATGCGGTCCGTCTTTGGAACCGTCTTCCTGTAGACATTAAGACCTCCCCCACTATCTCTATTTTTAAATCTAGATTAAAAACGAAACTTTTTTACGATGCTTTCTACTGACTCTTTTTATTTCCTTGTTAAGCTACATGTTTTTATTTTTGTAATGATTATTTATTTTTTGAATTTGTGTGTGTGATTGATGTATGTAAATTGTTTCTTAACTGCTATGATTATGTAAAGCACATTGGGCTACCTGTGTATGAAATGGACTATATCAATAAACCTGAACCTGAACCTCATTCTGTAAAAATACTCCTTTTGTCACAAATTTTGCATTTTGCCGAGATTTCTTTATTTTTAGAAAAGTGAAGCCACACTTTGGATCGCCGACGTAAGGTACTCATGTTCGACTCGCGTGGTTATGCCAACACTTCCGGTAGACGCTTCTTCGTTGGTGTTGTTCAGCGGTTTCTTCTTCCGCTCGGCGGACTGTGAATATCGAAACTAGGAATCGAAATTTTAACTTTTGAACGATTCCGGGAAAAACGAAAAGTTAGTCTTGGTTCCAATCGAGACTCGATTCTCGATACCCAACCGTACAGTTAATTTATTATAACCATTTAAAAATGTCATTTTGGGCACTGATTAAAAATGAGCTGTTTCGTGTGTATACCACCTTAAATGAAAATGAGCTGCATATCCCCGCCCAGCCTTTGGATGAGGGCGTCACTTGATACCTATGGCAGTTGGTACTGAGAGAGTGAGAGAAACCGCTGTTTTGAATGTCATTCAGCGTACGTTTGAATCGGAATATATAAATAGTACGAAGAGACTCCGGCAGAATAAACACAAATGAGAATGGATCTGTACGTCTCGGTATGGTTATTTGATACATTTATGTACTAATTGAGTTGTAATCGCGTCCCATTTGCAATTATGGACGTGGAACACACACAGACACACAAACACTAATGCTGGTTAGTTGAACACTAATACACATTCTGTGATAAAGTTTGCTACGTACAAGCGAAATTACATTTATGCGAGGGACCTGTTGTATCATGTTTAGCTTGTCATACAGGTGCTTCTGTGGCAAATGTGAGGAGATGGCTAACTTACAGAACAAGAACATATATGCAGTAGGGCTGAACGATTAATTGCATTTGCGATAAAATCGCGATATGATGAAACGCGATT